AAATTGTCTGTTATAGCACTGAAATAAAAAAGTACCAGTTCTATTAATCTGGTAAGCCATGTAGGAGCGATACAAGACTGAATTGTCTGCTACACAAATTACTGAAAGTATGGACAAAACATAAAGGATGAAACCAAAAAAATTGATTGATATTATACGTTCACAAAAACATATAAAATGGCATTTCCAATGAATATTTCCGAAGATTTTATACCCCCATCAATGGTATATCAATAGCCTGGAATATAGTATAATCTAAAAATCTTGATAAAATGCTGAGATAAATACTCGTAGTAAGACGTCTAGACAAGATTTATATGTGGTAGAGTCATGCTGTAGCAATATTATTAGTATAGTTGTAACACGAATGGATCGGCTCGACTGGAGAAGGACCACGCTCTCACAGAATACCATCATAAAATAGCAACTCAATGCTGCTGTATATAATAGATATTAAATTAAATTGCTTTACATACCTTTCTAATAGGTATGAAATTAAAAATTCAAGCGTTAATGGTATAGTTCGTTATATAAATATTATTCTAAACTAGTCTCTATTTCGTGAAGTATTTAGTTTCATAGGGAGAGCTGTATTATTACTCATGAAATCTGAAACGATTTCAAATGGGGGGAATCATGTATTGGCTTGCCTTCCTTACTTTTCTATTGCATCCTTTCTTCACATTATATGCAAAACGAAACTTATGGCGCCATCTGTTAGCTTACAACAAAAGCGTCTGCAAAAGCAGTCGACGCGATCGATACCCACATGTAACCAAGACTCAAGACTAGTATTGCCCAAAATTGGTCTTGGTCTTGCAGTCTTGGTCTTGTTCATGCATTTTCGCAAGACAAAGACCAAGACCGCCTAATTTTAGCAAGACCAAGACTAAGACTGATCGCGCAAGAACAAGACCAAGCGAGACTCTTGGGTCTCGCTGTTAGGACTGAGTGTCATTTCAGTGACTATAGGAGTTCGGGTATACGCTTAGGGACTCTATGAGACGCAAAAAAATACATTAAAAAATTGGAAAATTGGACTTGTGCGCATTACGAACAATAAAATAAACATACAAAGCGAATGAAAATATCCATTAAAAGAAAAAAAGATCGAATCCCTAGTTTTGACCATTGGCACTTTGATAGTGCGCGGCATCTTGTTGTCGGCATCATCAAAGGGCGCTATTATGCTATTCGGAACTACAAGGTCAAGATACACGCGCCGGCGCCTTCTATTTATATCAAAAACAATTGTTGCCGCCGCGCCGTAAGTTCAACATTTGACACTGATTGATTGCCGCCACAGAGTACAAGTTCCAAAGAATAAAATAAGTTTTCGAGTGCTCAGAATGGACACGAATACATTATGCTGATCTCGCAAGGAATATAGTAATTAGGTAATGGTAAGGAAGTAGATATCATAATAATTTATTCTAGTAAGTAATTATTATAATATTAACTATATGGGTTTACAATAATTACTTACTTTTATTATTATTATTATTACCTAATAGATAAACATGTTCAATAAGTCCACTGCAAATATCTTTGAAATACGGTCAAGTTAATGTCATTAATTTATTTTCTTATATGTTTTAACCATATTTTAGCACATGTAAGCTTATTAAATGTAAACGTTTATTAAGAAACAGACTGACTCCCGTGGCCGTGGGATACGGTTGATAGCTCAGTTGGTTAGATCATCGCTTAGGTCGTGGGTTCAAACTGGTGTCCGACCGATATCGAATTTTCAACCGAAACCGAAAATGAACCTTCGGTCTGGGTGACAGTTTTTGCCGAAACCGAAACTTATTTAGGCATGTTATTTTTTCATTATAAACTGTAATCTGGTATATTTTTTTTATATTAGTCCTTACATATGAAATTAGGGTTTTGTCGTACTGACCACTTTGATCTGAAATTTCTCCTCTTTGGTTAAGAATTCCAAATTCAAATTTATAAATTCATGTAGCAATTTCAATTCAAAGCAAAAAAAGTAGCAAGAAAATAGTCATTCATTGTTTTTTCCTCTTTATTTTTTTCTTTGGCGTTGCTTATTGACGCACAAAGGAAAACATGAAATATCGGTATATTTACGAGTACGAGTTTTACCGTGGCACCAGTGCCGCAAAAACACCTCAAAGGATGAATGATATATACGGCGCTGGTGTCGCAAAAGAAAGCACGGTACGTTTTTGGTTTGAACGTTTTCGTTCTGGAAATTTAGACCTTCAGAACCAACCCCATGAACGGCCGGAGACCAAAGTGGAAAATGAAGAATTGAAAGCTATTGTGCAAGTGAATCCATCACAAAGCACTTCAGAGATGGCTGCAGGCTTCAGCCTTATTTTGTTGTATTGACGATATTGTTAAAAGTAATATATTATTCAATGAGAGCATTAACGTAGTGAGTAATATACGAGTCACGAACTCATCCGAAGCCGAACGACGCACGATAATCTACGAACACTTGAACTTCGGCGTCACCGAAGGTTCAGCAGATTTTTTGCCAAAACCGAAACTATTACCGAAACTAGGTTTATTTGCCGAAACTTGCTGAAACCGAAACCGAATCTTCGGTCGGTCACTAGTTTACACCCCACACGGTGTCAGTTAATTTTTCGAATTTCTCATTAAATGTTTTGACATTTATTAATCTGGTTGGTCTTTACTATGGCTATATTAATTCAAGCTCAAAATTAACCTACTATGTTGTTGTTCTAAGATCTAAAGTAACGTTTAATAAATAGCAATAGGCTAATAAGTAATTGCGAGACTTGCGAGGCTCTTGCTGCAAAACCAAGACCAAGACCAAGACTAGGAATGCAATACCAAGACCAAGACCAGGTGTATTGGCGCAAGACCAAGACAAAGACTGGCTAAGTCTCGTCTTGTTCTTGCATTTGGGCAACACTATACAAGACGATCTGCATCGGTGATGCCTGTTCTTGTCTAAAACTTCCAAGATAAAATCAATGTAATTAAGCGTTAGTGAGTGTGCCGGGTCGACCCAGCTGTGTGCATAGGCTATATAATCACGTAGGAGTGTAGTCAAGGAAGTCTGCAGCCTTCCGAATTCATTTACCCTTCCCGGTGGGCCAGACTAATTTTCTCTCACTATAGGTAAATTAATTAGCAATTCCAAATATGTTTCTAATTATTTTTCAACGGAAAATTAATTTTAAAACGGAGCTCAATCCGCGTATTTTCGATTCTAACCTTTTTCAATTAATATAATTATATTTACGAACTAGAAAAGTATTTATGAAGTAGTGTTTATACGTATATTTAACACGTTCATGTAGGCATACCATAATAGTCATCTTATAGGCTGTGGCGCATAATTACTCCATACAAAGTTTGAGGACGTCCATACTCGTATCGCCGTATCACAAACAAAATATTGCAGATGACTTGTCGGTAACGTCAGTAAGCGTTCACGTTCAAGGACGCACCGGTATATCTCTAACCAAAAACGACTTTAAACAACAACTTTTAACAACTTTACTGGAATTGAGGCATTCCATCCTAGTCCTCACGGGTGAAAACGCATCTGCATTTTGATCTGTAACAGAGGATAGATGTAGATGTCTATGGGCCGCAGCAACCACTTACCATCAGGTGGACTGTGTGCTCGTTTGTCACCCTTATCCTATAAATAAAAAAACGACGTTTGACGACGTTGTTCATGTGTGGTGGTAGGTACCTGTCAATGTGTGTGTGACTTATGTTCAAGTAAGAAAAAACTAATGTATTGTAGCGGTAGAACTTCGAAAATTTGACACAATGCGGCGCAATGACGTAGCTACCGAAAGATTATACAGAGATTTGACGTTGCCAGCCGTTGTGCTTAGAAATTAAAATTTTTTTAGGACGTGATTAGACTATGTGCGTCATCGCGAAGACATCAGATTGAACGTTTTGTAACGTTGTTAGAACGAATGTGTTAACTGGCTTTTTGTGTTTTTTTTTTGTTTTTATGTGTGTGTGTGTGTGTGTGTGTGTGTGTGTGTGTGTGTGTGTGTGTGTGTGTGTGTGTGTGTATGTTGAATATAACAGTAATATAGGATTCGTTAATGATTATTGTAATAGAGTATAATGGTTTGGTTTTAATAACAAATAATTGTAAATTGTTACGAATATAATACATGTCCTGTGAATGCAAACATAAACTTTTCACAAATGTACAAATAATGGATTTATCCATGGTTATTAATAATAGATTAAGCAACGTATCAGTTTTTTATCAGTTGTTATGGTCAATTTAATGTAATAACTCTATTGACATCACTTAAATATATTAAAACGTATAGCTATTTTGACTTTTTTATACGATATTAGAGATTAAAATCGTTTTTGTTCTTGCTTTAGTGTCTTCCGGAATTTTTGTAAGTAAATTATTGTAGTTTTACATGCCATTTCAAAGTCTAAATATATAACATAACTTGTCATCGTAATAGCCTTTTCTTAACGTGTAATGGCGGTGTAAGTATATCCTCTACCTCGTAAAGTCCCGTGGATGTCGTTGAAGGAGACAGAGGTAAATTAATACAGGAGATGGTTAGCAGCACATTCCCGATAGCAAAATTATAAAAAAACTACAGTGCCAGCCCGCCTGCAATCTTTCAGTCTAGAGCTGAACATAAGATTTTTTAAGAAATGCTATAAAATGTGCCATCGGGAATGCATTTTTCGTAAGCGCAATCTTCCTCCGCACTCCACCCTGAGCAGGTAGGCAGGTGAGCGCAGTTTCAGAACCCTCACACTGTTAATACTGGTCCTTATTACCTATCTATGGGAGTTGGAGTTAATTTCACTTCTAATGCTTATTCAGCCAGCAATCGGTCGTCGGAGCCTTGGTCGTTAAACAGCAGTGAGAATTATGGGAGGTTAACATTCGGAGAGAAAGTTTGCATATAAAACTATAATATTCAAGTTAGGCTTGAAAACATATATTATTTATTTTTTCTATTTTTTGAGATCATCAATCTCGGACAGAAATGGCACTGATTATAGCAAACGTATGGACTGCTTTCATACTAACTGAGATGCTGTGGGTCTAGACAAGTGGCAATCGCTCCGTGTCTAATCCATTATGAAAATCAATTTCGTTTTAGCATTATCGAACGTAAAGTTACCACTTATAAAGTGATAAAGTGACATACTACACATGTAGTGTAGTGGCGGTCAAGAATATCCACTACCCCATATCCTCCCGTGGGTGTCGTAAAAGGCGACAAAGGGAAACAGGCAGGAGATGGGCAGCAGCATCTTCTTGATAACAACAAACTAACAATAAAAAAAACTGCGGTTGCCAACCCGCTCGCCAAGCGTGGCAACTGTGGCAAATACCTATACCCCCTATGAATGACAGTAACAAAGAAACGGCCCCCAGTCCCCGGCGGCCCCCGCTATTCCTGGCTACGGTGGCGACCATGGCGAGGCAGGGGGTGCTAAGAATCTCCGGTGGAGGTTCGGTTGCCACCTTAGACGACTCGACCTGGCAACGTACAACGCACGCACCCTGAGGACTGACGAGAAGATCGTGGAGCTGGAAGAAGAGATAGACAAGTTACGCTGGCATATTATAGGATTATCCGAAGTCCGAAGAGAGGGGGAGGACACGGTAATCCCCGAATCCGGCAACTTGCTCTATCACCGGGAGGGCGACCATCTGTCCCAAGGAGGTGCCGGATTTATCGTCCACAAGTCTCTCGTTAACAACGTTGTAAAGATCGGGAGTGTGTCGACGAGGGTTGCGTACCTTATACTCAGAATCACCAAACGGTATTCGCTGAAGGTCATACAGGTTTACGCACCAACCTCGGCACACCCCGATGAGGAGGTGAAGGAAATGTATGAGGATATCTCTAGAGCCATGCATTCTTCCAAAACCCAATATACGGTGTTAATGGGAGACTTTAATGCACAACTAGGCACAAGAGAGAACGGTGAGCTGAAAGTAGGGAAATTTGGAATAGGGCAACGGAACCCAAGGGGCCAGCAGCTGGCCAACTTCATGGAGAAAGAGGGACTCTTTATGATGAACTCTTTCTTCCAGAAGCGGTCTCACAGGAAGTGGACTTGGTCGAGCCCCGACGGTTCGACAAAAAATGAGATTGACTTCATTATGACGACCAGACGACAACTGTTCAGTGATGTCTCCGTGATCGCGAGGGTGAAAACTGGTAGCGATCACCGAATGGTTAGAGGCACACTGAACCTAAACGTTAAGTTGGAGAGCTCTCGTCTAATGAAGTCAACGCTCCGTGCCCCTCGTGCTTTGTTCCAAAGTCCCGAAACCTTTCAGCTTGAGTTACAAAAAAATTGCTATAAAGTTTTAAAATAAAATAAAGATTTTAATGTTGCAAAACTATATGAAATCAAGTTATGTTTAAAGCAAAATAAATTCTTCAAAATTCCAAGTCCATATAATAAACTTTGAAAAATTAAGTGTTGTTATGTGATCACAAAAATTGTTTATCGATATTATTACAAAATAAAAGTTAGATCTCTATACTTACTGAATTATTTATTAGAAATAAGTTTTTAAACGTGAAGATTGAGTAAAAATACCGATGAGGATAAGAAATCAATTTATTTTACACACAGCAAATTGTAATTATATCTCTACAATTAGGTATAAAAATATGTTTAAAGAAAATATAACATAAAAAACGCACTATTATACTAGTAATTAACTAAGCAAAAATAAATGACGATTCCGTTGTGCAGTGGCTAAGCGTTTGGCTGCGGCACTGCAGAACCGAGGGTTCGTTCCCGCACTGAAAAAATAGCCTGCGTCTGGATGCTTGTTTTCAACGTTAGTTTTTTTAAAGGGTAAAAATATTGGGTTTTTATCACTGATTGGAATAAATTGCTTTTATGTGTAACAAATACTATGTAAATATACAAATCACGAGGTTTCTTCATAGAGGTACCTATTCATAGAGATCGTTTACTAATTGTTGCTTTCAAAATGAGAGCTCATTACGAGTATAGCTAATGTTTGTAGATGAATTTATAAAAAAATTATTTATAACCAAGTAATTACAAATAACTTTGAGTTTATTTATATAATCGAATTCTTACCAAAATGTGACTTTAGAGGGATATTATCTTTTGCTACATATAAATAAAACCTAATTAACATACACATAGTTGTGGAAGTTTAAATTAAGTCATCTGATGAAATAACAGTTCGTTTTAGTTGGGTTCAAACGCAATGTTAGCCACAAATATGTTTTAACATGTGAATATTGCCAATTGGTGCATGTACCAGCTATTTCACCCATTGCTTGCATCTGAAAAAGTAATATAAATAAAATCACATTTTTATTGATCAAATAGAATGTTAGGAGTCACAATTGAATATAGTTCGTTTCGTATTGCCATACCATCGAACTATCAGATTTTGGAAATAGAGTATTTGTATTTGTGCACACAATCGTACACTATAGAAACCTTTTCTACGTAGATGGCTAGTCCAAAAATGTACTCGCGTTAAATATCATATTACTATTAAAGTTGAAATCACCACTACCTTTCATCATCTAAGAGAAATATTACTACGAATAGCCTTTTCTTGTTATCATTTTTTCCGCTTCTTGCACCATTTAATTGTAAAGTTTAATAATGCATATTTAATTTTTCAACAATTCTGTAAATAAACAACGGCTCCTATTAAAAGTTAAAAGCAAAATTAAGAGCAATGTTAATATATATAATATAATATATACAAATATAATTGTTTGATTTGACAATGTCGTTAATAGACATATTACGGAAAGCAGAAAGAAGAGATAATAGTCATTAAAATTTGACCCCTGTAGTACATATAATTTTTACTATTGAAGTTGCACCAGCCTGCTCACGATTGATTGTCCCACTCACTCTTGCTGCCGCAGTACACTTAATCACTTCACTCACTGGCAGGGCTCGGAACCGGTTTAAAAAGAACGGTTAATTTCGATTAATTACCGGTAAATATATCGCTCCTATAAATACCGGTTAAACAAGTAACCGGTTTTTAACTAACCTAAACGATAAAGGTTACCAGTTACGAACCGGTTTAGGCACCAAAATTAACCGGTTAATTCCGTAAAACGTAAAGACTGAGTAGGACAGGTAGATTCACTTTGTGACGTGTTTATGCCGCATTACCGTGTGCGAGCTACTTTTCGTCAAATATCTGCCTATGCGACACGTTCTTTTTCTTTCACTCGCGGTCAGGGTGCCTACTGGGAGTTTGGCTTTTACGAAAAACGTGATATTATTTTAGTTATCGCAAAAAAAGAAAAGACTACTTTTGTATTTTGGTGTATTCTTTAAGACTGGACTTATATCGAAGAAAATAATTTATTATTTTGTATTTGTTGTTATTAAAAATGGGGAGAAAAAAAGTAAATAGAATTTATTCCATGTTTGCGTACGACGAGGAAACCCAAAAATCTAAGTGTTTGATGGAGGGCTGTGATACGACTATCAAGGCAAGTGGTATTCTCTATTTAATAGAGAATTACACTCTTTATCTATACAAATAAATAAAATTGAGGTGTCTGTTTGTAATGTTAAAATAACAGCTTTTTACTAAATTCATATTAATGTATATATGATACTTATAACAAAAACACAATTTTTAAAATTTTTGTCTGTCTGTCTGTCGGTCTGTCTGTCTGTCAGTTTGTTCTAATCTCCGAAACGGCTGGATGGATTTCGACGGGACTTTCACTGGCATATAGCTGATGCCCTAAGGAGTAACTTAGGCTAACTTATATTTCAGAAAAAGAATTAGGGTTCTGAACAATATAATTAAAACCCTAAATTACACGCGGGCGAAGTTGCGGAGAACAGCTAGTACCCAATATAATCTAATAAAGGTACTTTGGCACGACCCGGGATTCAAACCCGGGACCACATCATAATCGACAGTCGCGCTTATGACAACTAAGCCATGAGACAGTGGGAGTTTCATTTATCGAAATTTTTATATATATAAATTAAAAGTGTTTGTCGTGTCATATATCTACATTTACATTAAGCATATCGTGAATTTTTTTTTGTTTATGTTGATAATCACCTAAGTTATTTTTGTGTAAGGTGAATGTTGGGAAACCGGCATACTTTTTTAATAGTTAACTTTGATTGATCCAAACTAATGGAACTATACATGCTAAGGTAATACTTATAGTTACAAATGATGAAAAATATTGTTTTGACTATTTTAAAAACACTTTAATTTTAAATCGGCGTATAGACGGACTTTCCTTACTGTTTGAGGTAAGTCCATCTAGTGGTCATTTTACAGTTTACACTAAATTTAATAGATGAACATCTAACATCATCTGTAACCAGATGGAAACATTTTCTTTCGATAAAGTAACGAATGTCCTTGAAATATGTGCTTTATAACATAAGTATAAGGTTGCAATTCATTTAAATAAGTCATTTTCTCATACTTGAAGTATATATTTACGTGATGCGGTTGTAAACATTTTCGGTAAATTAAAAGCAAAGCAAATTCTAAGCCATGCTTTATTTTCTACAAAAGGATAAGAAGTCACTTTCGAATCGAGTATTAACACAATATTTGCCTTCGCAAATTATGTAATACAATATTTGCCTGCAGTTTAGCAGTAATAACTAATTACTGATATGATGTGTTCACACATTCATGCGACGTGACTAAACAAGATTTTATTTTCTACGGACTTAACTGATTTTAGGATTCCGTACCCAAAGGGTAACCAACAGGACTCTATTACTAACCCTCCGTCCATCCGTCCGTCCGCCTGTCTATCTAATTTTCACAGAATATGTATTTCTGTCTTTCTGTATCGATGCAACGTGGTCTTTCTATATCGATGAGATGTGGTCCTTTACTGCTGGCCGTATGAAGAAGCTCAAGGTCACTCAACAAGCTATGGAGAGGGCTATGCTCGGGGTTTTTCTGCGTAATAAACTTAGAAATGAAGATATCCGCAGTAGAACCAAAGTAACCGACATAGCCCAACGGATTAGTAAGCTGAAGTGGCAGTGGGCCAGCCATATAGCTCGAAGAACCGACAACCGATGGGGAAGAAAGGTTCTCGAGTGGCAGCCTCGTACCGGTAGACGAAGTGTAGGGCGACCCCCCACTAGATGGAGTGACGACCTGGTAAGACATGGAGGAAGTCGATGGATGCAGGTGGCTCAGGACCGTGCTTTCTGGCATTCTTTGGGGGAGGCCTATGTTCAGCAGTGGACTTGTGAAAGGCTGTAATGATGATGCATCATCATCATCATTACAGTCTTTCACAAGTTCACTGCTGATATCGATGCAATAGGGTTAATAATTAGGAATCTTAAATATTTGTGAGGCTTTTGTAGTGTGTGAAGTATTATAAATATAATAAAATATCCTGACATTTTATTATTAACTAGCTGATACCCGCGACTTCGTTCGTGTTACTTACACACATCACTGAACACGTAGTGCTTATAAAAATCATTGTTTCTTAAAACTTTAATAATTTTATATTAATCTATCTGTCCCTCGCGACTTCGCCCGCGTGGAATTTTCTACGATTTCATGGGTTTTAATTTAATGCGCGGAACCCTAATTATTTTTCTAAAATAAAAGTATCCTAAGTAACTCCTTATAACATCCGCTATCTGCTAATGAAAGTCCCGTCAAAATCTGTCCAGCCGTTTTGGAGATTCGCCGGAACAAACAGACACACAGACAGACAGACAAAAATTTTAAAAATTGTTTTTTGTTATAAGTACCGTATATACTTTCATATGCATTTAGTAAAAAGCTGTTATTTTAAAATTACAAACAGACACTGCAATTTTATTTATTTGTATAGATGGTAAATATTTTATGTACCTACGCATTGTTAACGTATTTTTTTATTTTATAGGGAAACCATGGGGCAAACTTATTGCGTCATTTTTTTTCTCAACATAGAGCAAAATACAATGAAATCCACAGTTCAAATTTGGCAGCTAAAGAAAACATTTTGCCACAGACGTCTAACACCAAAACTGTCTTGCAATGTTGCACGAGACTCGTTACGGACCACGGTCGTCCATTTAACTTTATTGAGGATAAAGCGTTCAGAGACATACTTAAATTAATACCAGGGGTAACACAGAATCAACACCAAGCAATTAATATAAAAAATGTACGATCCAGTATACAGAATATGGCTCACGAAGTTCGAGGAAAGATATGTAACGAAATCAAAAATAATCTACTCTCAATCAAAGTAGACATTGCATCTATTAAGTTAAGAAGATTTCTAGGTCTAAATATACAGTATGTTTTGGGCAAGTAAAGTAATCTAAAACATTAATAGGGTTTTTAATATATCTATTTTAATATCACGATGTTGGTAACTAAGCACGATATTGGTAAATAATACTCCTCTCTGACGGTAAATGGTCTCCGTAGCCGATGGTCGCCTGCAGCACTAAGTATAATATTAACTATTTTCCGACTAATTAATATCTTAAACATAATCGGCCTTACTTATAAACGTTGATTATTTACATTTAATTTATTAAGCCATTAGAATTAAGTATTCATTATTTCTATATCTGTCTCTTTCTATTGTCTTGTTTGTATTACTAAAAGATATGTATATGCAAAAAGAGAGATTTTAATTCTTAATTTGAGGTCGATTTTTATGAGAAAGCTCCAGTATTATCTATTTACGTAACATTTTATTACATAATATTTATTCTTTCAGATGGGAAAATCGTCCTTAGGAATTTGAGCATAGTAGAATTATTCGATAGAAGTACAGGGCAGTATTTAAAAGAAAATGTAGTTTTTATTCTTAGTAGATATGGAATAGAGCTAAACCAAATACATACGATTACTACTGACAACGGAGCAAATATGATAATTATGACTAATCAATTAAATGAGGCAGTCAGGGACTCATTTAATCAGTCAGTAAGTGAGACGTTTGATGTATTTGACATCGAAACTGTCATTGACTATAACGAGGAAGATCCATCTTTTATAGAACATAGTTTAGAGCTAGATACCAGCACAGGTAGTACGCCTGAAGCGGTTTGCACTGTTACAAGCATACGATGCGCCGCGCACTGCTTGCAGTTGGCCGTCAAGGATGCCTGCCAAGAAATGGAAGAATTTCTTGGGCATTGCCGAAAAATTGTACGTAACTTACGTACACCAACTGTAGCAATGCGTTTAAAACAACTTAAACTGCAAAATGCAGTGATTGATACGTCTATTCGATGGGATTCTACGGCAAATATGCTAGAAAGGCTGCATAAATTAAAAGATTTTTGCACTACTAACTTAGTTTTCGAACCTGAAACAATTTGGGACTCCATCGAAAAATATTTAAACATCCTGGAACCATGTAGAATTCTGTCAAAAATGCTGCAGATGGAACAACTTAGTTTTGGTGACTTTTACATTGCTTGGATGAAGTGTCGTCTCCAAGTCGAACAAATAGATGACAACTTTGCCCAACGTTTGTTGTGTTGTCTAAGAAGTCGTCAAGAAATGCTTTTCACTAATGAATACTTTCTCGCCGCTACTTATCTCGACCCAAGAGTAAATGCTACACTTTCGAATGCTCAACAAATCAGTGCAAGGGCTGTTTTAGTTGAGACGTACAAAAGATTAACGCGATTAGCAACCCCTGAACCTTCTACTTCTGGTGTTGATGATGATGCTCCAGGAACTTCCGCAGAGCTTGATTCATGTGGCCAAAATATTAATTTTGGCAACTACCTTCGCGAGCATTTCTTTAGCATCAGACACACAACGACAGATGAACCACATACCTCACAATCGTTAGAAAGAGAAATCAATCTAAAGTTGATTGCTTTTATACAAGAACCAGTATTACCGTCGAAAACAAACGTTTTAGAGTACTGGGAGCGCAAACAGTTTACTGATCCATATTTCTATAAACTGGCAAAAGTAATTTTGGCGACTCCGCCGACAAGTGTTAGTGTCGAGAGACTTTTTTCATCTCTTAAATTTGTACTTAACAATTTACGTATGTCATTGAGTGACTCAATTATTGATGATGTTTTAGTAGTAAGAAACAACCATTTATTTGATGAGGAGTAATATTTTTGAAATTCAGCATTAATTATAATTATATTATTTTTAAAGACTTTAGTACCAGAAAAACAAAAGTAGTAGTGTGAAAGACACGATCTTAACAATATTTATGCAAAAACATAACGACATAGTAGTATGTAAGGATCTTTCTCGGAGTCAATTTGCAAGGTTTCTTTAATTTCTTAATTTTTTTTATGAACCTTACACATATAGAAACAAAAGGTGGACTTAATGATAACCGATAAGTTGCCTACAAGGAGTTTAAGTTTATGATGAATAGACTGACCCTGTCATTACCATTTAGAGTACTTTTTTATTACTGTTAATTATTAGAACATGACTATGTGAATAAAACCCAAGGTACCTTGTTAATTATACTGTCATATACATAGTGACCTAAATAACTACTTAAATTATAGATGAGTAGTGACATCTATACTTTTAAGTAGTTAATTAAGAATACCTAATATTTTAATACTTAATAATTAAGTTAATCATTTGAAACAAAATACGTATATAAAAATAGTTTCAGAGTTATTAGGTACTTTTATAAGTGGGAGAATCGAAATAAAGCATTTAGTAATTATTAATTATTTATTTTATTTAAATAAACATGCCAACAAAACATATTCATAATTTCATAAGTAGGTGGTAAAAACCACGACAAAAAAGGAGTAATGTTGTTGGAAGTAAAGACTAGTAATGAGTTGGGGGGTGGCTCGAATATTAGGCCTAGTCAGTTTGAATAGCCTATCATGTAGAGGATGTCATGAGGGTCATGGTTGAATAGAAGTAAAAAGTTCTCATTACACTCCTAGGGCTCAAAATAGGCACAAAACCAAAAAACTGGGGGGTGGCTCGAATTTTAAGCATAGTCAATTTGAATATCGTATAATGTAGAGGATGTCATGGGGGTCATGGTTGAATAGGGGCAAAAAGTTCTCTCTACACTCCTAGAGGGTCAAAATGGCCAAAAACCAAAAAAAGTTCTTATTTCGGCTATAACTCCGCCTCCTTCGGAGGTTCTTGAACAGTCTTTACTTCCCGCATCCCACTTGCTAATGGAAAAATAGTGGCCATTTACTTTATATCTACAATTATTATACCAGCGAGAAAAAAACCATATAATTAAATGAAGTTTATTTTATTTCAATACAACTTATTCTTTATAATGATTTACAATCACTTCTATTTCATTTAACAGTGGCATAAGATTATCTTCTGACACATCCTCTAAAAGTCGTCGAATGACGATTGCAATTATATTTCTTTTACAATTACATGGTGACATGTTATTTGCATCTTCAGTATGGGTACTTACTTCTTTTATTTTTAAACTTGCATCATCTTCATCTTCGCTTTGATAAGGAGTAGTTTTTTCTCGCCATTTTGTGCTTTTGATTATGACTTTCATGTCTCCTATATCAAGAATACCAGATTAATACTCTGAAAACAGAAGAGAGATAACCGTTAAGTTTTTCCAGAATCGAATCTTGGTCTGAAAATAAATATGTATATATAGTTAACTAATAAAATTGAATAATAACAGTTTAAAAAAAAGCCTTAATAGTGTTTTCTGGTATATTTTATAGCATTTGACTTGGAAAAAAATTGGAATATATTTAATTTAAATATTTACAAAATAATATTCTATAATAAATTAATAAGTAGCTCACCTTGACACTGCATTATTATTTCGCTCTTTATTAATCAATTAAAATAATATTTATTCTAAAAACGCGTGAACACTCGCGTAAAACACTTTGCACCCACTCAGTGAACGTTACATTCTGTTTAAAAACAAATAAACCATAGTTAACGTCGATTTTTACTAACAGAGCGCCGCCGTATAAAGCAGGCTGCAAGCGGGGTAAGGGAGAGGGGGGACATTACAAAACTTGGATTTAACCGGTTAATTCTTACCACCTAAACCCAAATTTGTGAAAAACCGGTATTCCGCTTAAAGCGGTTTCGGTCATTGACCCCAAAACCGGTTTAGAATTTGAACCGGTTTCCGAGCCCTGCTCACTGCAACTTCACCTTTCTGCCTCCCCGCGCACCCCTCTCCTCACGATTTCCACTGGAACACCGCCTGCCGTCTGTCAGTGAACAACTTCCGCCCACCGTGACGACTGCTTCTTACCGACTTCTATGAGCCAGTACCGTCACACCTTATAAGTACCAATCCGCTACTTCTGGGTGCGGGGGTGTGATTCCAATCCGGAATCACTGATTACAAAAATCTGTCCTTGACAGTTCCTTCCGGCTTACGATGGACCATGAATACGGTCGTACGTAGCGGGCTAAATACCTATTGGTACTTTTAAATAAGACCAACAGATATCTTGATTAGGTATATGTATTATGTATTACTTTCTTCTAATATCGTTCACTTTATTTGCTGATGACATTAATTTTCAAATTAAAACGACAATTATTAAAATATGATGAAGTAAATAATACTATATCTAAATTAGTAAATTGGTTTAAGGTTAATAAATTGCATTCAAACGGCACTAAAACGAAATGCATGAAATTCATGACTCCAAATGTCAAACTATATAATACTAATGTAATTTTAAATGGTAAGAAACTGAGTATTGTCGATACCACCATTTTTCTTGGAATAACACTAGATGCGAAGCTTCAATGGAGCCCCCATATATCAAAACTAGCAAGCAGACTTAGTTCTGCAGCATATACCGTAAAAAAGATTAGAAGTCTAACTAGTGTTTAAACAGCTAGACTAATTTACTTTAGCTATTTCCATAGCATAATGTCGTATGGTATTTAGTTATGGAGACACGCGACTTACACCGAAATTATATTTTGTTTTACAGAAGAGGCAATCTATATATACCAGGGAATGCAGGAAATAGAGTGAATGGTGTTCTACATCCTATTGTGAGAAGTCAGAACGTGTCCAAAAAAGGCACGTATGGCAATTCACAATGCAGTGTTAGTAGAATAAATGATGTAGAAATGCGGTCATTAAAGAGTATGTTAGGGATGAATCTGAATTACAGAGTGAGAATTTGTGTGATAAGAGAAGAGTGTGGTTTGCAAGATGATGATGTGACCAGGATTAAGAAAGGAATGCTTCAGTGGTTTGGTCATGTAGAAAGAATGAATGAGGAAAGAGTGACAAAGCAAATTTATGTTGCAGAGGTGAACGGCAGAGTCGGGAAGGAACGCCCTAGGCGTAAGTTTATCGACCAAATTGGCGATATATTGAAAATGGGCCAATCCAAGAGTACCTTTAACCGACGAGCGTGTATGCGTAGGGATGTGGAGGAAGCGAAAGAGGTGTGTCAGAATCGTGCCAAATGGAAGTCTATAGTCTCTGCCTACCCCTTTGGGTGACAGGCGTGAGTGTTGATGTTTTTTTTAAGAGCAATCTATGATTAAAAATCTAAAGAGTCACTCCGACAAACATTTAAGGAAATTAATATATCTACTTTGGCCCTTCAACAAATTTATAAAAATGATAATGTACGTACACAAAAATAAAGGTAGTTATACAAAAATAAGTGATATTCATTCTGTAAATACTAGAAACAGACACAAGTTATAAGTACCAGTTACTCGACTCTACCGAGTCAGTAATTCATTCTTGGGACAATGTATACGCTTATACAACAAAATACCGGAAAATATACAAAATTTGACCTATTCAAAGTTTAAAAACTTTATTAAACAAAGTTTATATAAAGAAGGTTATTATATTATTAAGGAATTTATGGATGATAATATAATAACCCTGTTTATGTAATAATTTCTGGTTCTGTTCCGTTTCTGTAATTGTAAGAGTATCTTATGTAAATTCAGTTGAGGAATCAGTATCAGGTTTAAAATGTTCTAAGCTTTAAAAATTTGTATTTATATTGAGTCTGAGACTTTCTAAAATATCTGTAGACTTTTCATCTATAGCATCCAGACGTTGAATCCTATGATATAAATGGTTCAGTAAGTTTTGAGTACGTTTATATAAATTTTTATCATATATCACTGGTAACGTTTTTAAATTTGTTTCGACTTTAACAAAGCTTTCTCAGATACACTCTAGGCAAACCTCTGTATGCAATCTCTAATGGCCACCTCATAGCTTAGTTCATTTTTTCGAAAGGACAAGAATTTAATTTCGTATGACATTATTTAAGAAAATCCTTATGTGACCAAGTTTAATTTTTTTTATATTATACTAAGCCACCGCCTAAATACAATCCCATCAGGTAAGCAGTGATGTACTCTATTATAGTGAAGGGCAAATATAAGTGACTTAAAAAAAGCCTATTCACTCTTGCCTTAAAGACATCCACATTGTGATCGGATGAAAACACAGATGCTGACAACTTATTCCACTCCTTTGCATCACGAACGATATAGCAAACCGTTCGGTTGGAATGCATCGTAAGTCAATAACGAAAGGGTGGAGACTGACCAAACGTCTGGTTGTCTGATGGTGGAAGGGAGAGGGAGGAATTAAATTATGCAATTCCTGCGCATACTCTCCGAAATGCATCCTGTATAAAACTGAAAGGCTGGCTACTTTGCGACTGTGTTCGAGGCTGATAAGACTGGTTTTAACCAAATTTGGCTCACCAATAAGCCTCTTAGTATTCTATTGAGTCCAAAGCTGTTAGATGGCATTTTGCAGCTCCAGTTCATATATGGCAGCAATACTCCATGCACAACCAGACTTGCCCTTTATATAAAGTGAAGTATTGCCACACCTTTGCAAGGACTCCTAGCTTCCTTTCAGCTGCTTTGAGCTTGGACTCAGTCAAGCGTCCGAAATTCAGATTTGAGAATATCTCAATCCCCAAGAACTGAAGGCAGTCGGTGTATTCCAGTGATACATTTCGGAAAGAAGGAGCCAAGATGAGCTGGCCCCTTTTCGCAGTGAAGAAACACGCTTGTGTTTTGGAGGCGTTGAATTTCACAAGATTGGCATCGCTCCATTCGGAGACGTGAATTGTAGGTGAAGAGAGACGAGAACAAGTCCG